TCTATTATAATTTTATAATTATAATATATATATTATATTGTAATATATATTATAATTATAATATATAATAATTATAATTTTATTATATATTATAAAAAATATATTGATAAAAAAAAAATATTGATAATCTTGAATATCACAGATGAAAACGAACTTGCAAAAAAATTAGAAATTACAATCATTACAATCCAAATTAAACATCTTTATCCTGGCATAATTTTCTGTATTGTCAAAATACAGATATAATATTATGATATAAACATTCTATAGGATATATTATATAGGATATATAGGATATTAATTTGTGCGATATTTTTGAAAAGTCAATTTAATTCTGAAAAATCAAAATAAAAATTAATACACAAAAATAGTCGATTAAAACTGTAATAAACTTAAAACTTATTTATTAAGTTATAAGCAATTGAAAATATTTGCATTGAGCAAATGAAAATAAAATATATCACTGTAAAACTCTGTTTTGAATCAATTTTTCAAAAATTCCACGAATATTAATATTCTGTGTAATAATTTAAAAATTACAAAACAGAATAATTTAACAAAATCTACCAAGTTATTATGGTATTGAATTTGTATTTACTATTATATCTAGTCTTCGATGATAACCGATTTAATTATCGTTATCCATTCTTTAATTTCTTCATTTTATTCATTAATATTCTTCAAAACAGTTTTAATTGCAATTTGATAAAGCAGAAATCAAACAGTTTTAATTGCAACTTGATAAAGCAAAAATCAAAAAAGATTGCATGCAAAGAAATATGCAAAGTATCACGAGATATCGTTGAATATGTGATACTGAAATTTTTAGAATCGAAATATAATTCACCAATTGATATTTATGATCCATTTATTCTCAATAATTTTGTTACAATTTGCATTTTCTCTGTTCTGCTTTTCATTTTTCTTTAAAAATGATCTTCAATTTTATAAAAAAATCTTCAACAAAAAATTAAAATGTGAAATTATGGATATTAACTTTTTTTATATTTCATCTTTATTTTGGAAATAAATAAAACTCAGGAAGCATAACTTACAATCAACATTCTCTAATATTCAATTTATAAGTTCGTTAAAAAATTGCATTTATATGTATATTGTGACACAGCCAATTTCTCGTTACAAATTTTACAATTTCATCTATTACAGAAGGAAAGAAAGAGAGATACGGATGGGAAGGCAGAAACATAAAAATGAAATGGAAAGAAAAAAAATATAGTTGTGCACAGTTTATAAACAATGTTTATTTCTGCTGTTTTGCTTCTGTTTCGTATTCTTTTATTTTTCCATTTTTTAATTCTCTTTTACAATCATGGGAGAAGCCTATAACTTGATTGAAAAGTCTTGCGCATTGTGTGTGAATGTCAAATGAGTTTTAAACACATACATATGCATACATGTACATATATGTATATATATATATACACATCTTTTTCATTTTATCTTACTTTATATAAGGCAGGACAAACCAGGATTGAAATTTTACTAATTTGTATTTTACTAATTGTATATAATGTTAAATTGATTAAGATCGTTAAACAAAAATTATTATAGTTAAAAAAAAACTATTTAGAATAAGTTTATTATCTGAAATCAAGTTATGGTTCATGATAAATAATACTAAAATTATTATAAAAAATACAATTAACTTTCAAATTAATATAATAATAATAAATATGATATAATATTAGAATAAAACAATTTAAATATTTATTAAAAGAAGAATATAATATTTATTATAATAAATAATCGAATTAAAAATAAATTACATTATTCAAAACTTGATATATTATATATTACTATCATCATCGATTATGTTTTTTGAATTTCAATTATAAATTTTTAATGATAACATATTTAAAAGATATTTAAAATGATTATTAAATAATTATCATATTAAAAAAAAAGAGATCGTACTAAAAAGAGAGATTAAAATAAATATTAAGAAAAAAAATAAAAACAATATATATGCATAGATATATATATAAATTTATTTTAATCTTAAATTAAAAAAAAGAAATTTTATAATGTATATTTAAGCTGTTAAAGTATTAATTATATATTACGATTGTAATTTTTTCTTTACATTAATAGCTATGACACATTTTAAAATATTTTAATTTTTCTATTTATACAAAATGTAGATATATATTTTTTTTCTTGGTTTTCCCTTCTTTTCTCTCATTCATTTATTGGGATTTATAAAGGCACATTATAGGACTTTCTGTGTGTACATATATATACATATAATGTGTATCCTTTTACATATATTATATATATATACATATATTATATATACATACGTTTTACATACTTTCAAAGAGATGATATCTGAATATTTTCTTTTTTCAACTTGACTAGACAAAATCCTAATGTACCTGTATATTATTTTCTTTTCTTTCATTTCGTCGTTTTTTCCATTTTTTCATTTTTCTTTTTTTTTTTTTTTTTTTGAGTTTACTTATTTTTCCCCTTTTTGTTGACTAGCGATGATAATTGACTAATAAATATCGAAAATACAAAGTGAGAATATACAAAGAGTTAGAAGAATGCTAAGTTTTTACGGATCAACCTATCATTGTATTACTGCTATTCTATATAACTCAAATTTGTTCATTACAATCTTATTATTACTTACAGAGTAACGTTGGAAGTAAAAAAACTATGAAATGAAAAAACATAAGGAAGAAAAAAAAATATCGAGAAAGAAAAATATTAGAATAGTCAAAATAATCGTTGAAAATTTAATCAAATCTGTAAGTTAAATACAAAAATCAAAATTTAATCTACAACAACAAATATATGAAATATGAAGATACATACACCTTTCTTTCTTTCTTAGCATAGAAGAAAAAAGAAAAAAAAGAAAGAAAAGATAAATATCTTTAATCACTTCGAATTGTTTTCTCTTTACATAATAATGATTTTACATAATAATTTATATATTCGTATATTTATATATTTTTATACATCATAAGTAAAATCATCGAAATAGATGTTCGAAACAGAAATAGGTCACATAATTAGAATCATTTCCATGTAATATTTTCATCATTTCTTGAAAAAATTTTTCATTCACATATTTTAGCATTTATATTTTTTTTATTTTTTCTTTTTCCATTTTATTATTTTCTATCGAAATTCACAGATTTTAAATATAAAAATACACGTAATATATACGTAATACTCTTGTTTTACATTTGTTTCTTTCTTTCCTTTCAGTGAATCTTCATGTATACGTTTACATAGCTTTCTGTGTTGAAGTTTATGCGTAGGGGGACCATGTCACTATATATGTGTGAACAATACATGACATGTATTGTTTTGACAATGAAAACGACGCGAAAAAAACTTAATAATGTTATATGTATGTAAACACGTAAAGACACTGAAATTTAGTTTTCCATTTAAATTCTTCTAAAAATTTTTAACATTCTTATTTTCTTCTTGTCATTGAATGAAACATAACTCTAACATGCACAGAATTTTCAATCATTTTTCTCTATACTTAGTAAAGTTTCTGTAAAATATATAACAAAGTTTAATTAAGTACTTATATGTATTTATATAAGTATAAATCTGGCATTCATCATGGATGAAAAAAATAACGAGTATATTTTTTTATGTACATCAGTTCCCAATAGTAAGACGCAAATATGTTGTAGAAAAATTCACTATTGATTCTCTTTTAAAAATTCTGTTTATATTCTTCTATTAGATTTACTTTTTTGTATAATTTCGATTCAAACAGGCCTAGCATTGAAAATAAGATTATAAATTTTCATTTGGTCTATATTATATTGCTGTGCTAACGCATGGTAATTTTTATAATATTCTCTATAAAAAATTCTTTTCAAAATATATCGATATTTCATAAAAATATCGAACTGATTAAATATCAATTAATTAAGAGTTTGTTTTTATATTTTTTCAATACCTTTTAATATTGTATAGTGTACCAAAAAAAAATTAATTAAAAATTTGTTTAAAAATATTCTAAAGATATTAAAAAAAACTTATCTTATTTTCATCCCATTCATTCGATTTTGATTTTTTTTTTTTTTTCCTTAGTTTCAGGTAGAAAAGATAAACGCATGGAATAATAAATCCTTAAATGACTTATTCTACTTAAAAAATGTGTAAAAATTGTTGTCCATGTTTACTTTAACTTATTTTTTTCAAATATATCATTCATTTCGAAGTTTCGTTTAATATGATTTTTGTCTAAATATATATTAATGTGTTTGTTTTTATGTGTCAGTATGCATCTAAAATATATGTTATACAATACAACGTTTGTATAATATCGCGAATTCCTTATCGCTAAATCATCATTTATATAGTTCATTACTATTTATTGTATATTGCGTCTTTTGTGGACTTTATTGGCACTGTTTATTACAGTTCCAGGATCTGAGTAATAAAAAAAAAAAAAAAAAATTTCATACTAATCAACTAATCACTTATTTCAAAGTTCATTTTCACGATATGGAATATTAAAAATGTAATCTCGTCTGGGTATTTATATTTCTTCTTAAATCGTTTTTGTTATGTCGATTATTTAATAATACAAATTTATAAATTTCATTCAATATTCTTATAAAAAAAGAACATATTCGCAAGAGAAAAAAAAAAAAAAAAAGAAAAACACCTTTTATAAAAAAACAGACATTTCATGATTCTATTTCAATGAGAATTCATCCTTATTCATCTTTATCAACTTCAAAAGTATACAAAATATGGCTGAAATACAAACTGCAAAAATTTTTAAATCAATTTAACTTAAATATATAATATTTAACAAATTAATTTAAATTTTACGAATGCAAAACTGAAATCCATTATATTAATTGATTATGATCATTTTTGAGCGGACTATAAATTCGAATATAATGATTTCTCTTATATTTTAATGTATCAATGTAAAATCGTTTTTCCATTACAATTATTCATTTCATGTTTCGGATAGCAATTATACAATATTTGGTTAATAAAATCACTTTTAGTTAAGTTATTTCAATAATATTACAATACATCGAATATTTTCTGTTACTTTTTTGAGCGACGCGAACTTAAAAACTATACATAACTAAGTACCTATTATGGTTTTCGATGAAACACTCTTCGCCGAAAACTACATTCAGCCTAATTATTACCGTACAATGTATTTTTTTGTAATTATACGATAAACGATGAAATTACAAAAAAAAAAAAGGAGGACATGTATATATTCACACATCACGATTGAAATAGAGATTTGACGATTTTGACGACTGCACACATAACATTCATTTTTTTTTTTGTTTTTTTTTTTCTGTAATTTTTTTCTCATAATTTATTTTATGGGGTAAAGCCATTTAAATGGTTACCGGAGAGATACATCAATTAAAAATAGTTTACAAAGATTTATTTGCTTCACATCAAAAAAGATTTCTTTTATTTTGGCTGATATCTATATGTTTGTACGGTTGTTCTATTAAATTAATTCTTATATATTTGAATGTAATTATAGCTCTCGAATACAGTTCGTCGGAAAGAAAAAGTATTCACATGATACTTGATTTGTTCATTAGCTGATGGTGTTTTACCATCACGATTATGCTAAACAATTTACATTTTTTTTTTTTTTTTTTTGCTTTTTTGTTTGATTTTAACTACTTAGACATTCCTTTTTGTCCTTTTATTTTTATTCTTCTCTCTCTGTTTAGTTGTCCTTACTTTATAAGTATATCTTTATAAATTTATGATATACAAAATTCTTGTCGAGGACACAGTCGATATGATAATGTAAAATGTTACAGTATCATCTAGGATTCTAATGTCGTATAAGACATTTCCATAGTAATGCCAGCGCTGCTACGACGGAATCTAGAAGGAATTTCAGTACTGTTGCGTGGTTTACGTCTGCTCAAGTGCCTTTCAACCCATTTCAACATGGTCAATACGGAATCCGTGCTCGGCAAACGCCTTTCAGCTGATGTACGAATTATATGTGATGACGCTACACGGAAAGTTGCTGCCATACCTTTCAACGCCTAGATAAAATACACAATTAATATTATATATAATAGTATATAATATAAAAATATATATAAAATATATATAAATATTTATAATATAAAACGAAATCAAAAGATTAGAAAAAAGATATAATTGAGTGGAAAATCTCTAAAACTAAATTAAAAGTAATATTTTTTTTCATTTTATAAATCGATTATTAAGAAGTTCATACCTTCATTGCATCTTCATCTGTCACATCATCACCAGCGTAAATAATCCTAATACGTTCGCTCCAATCTAAGCCAAATGCAGTACGTAGAATATAAATGGAAGCATGGCCCTTATTCCATTCGACAGGTGGTTTCGCCTCGATAGCACAATGTGCTGAACAGGCTTTGAAACCCGCTTGTTCAATAATTTTCTTTGCTTGTTCAACCATCACAGAACGTCCCTCCATAGGCGTTTCACGATAGTGAAACGTTAATAATGCTCCTTTATTTTCTACCCAAGCACCGTCTCTGCAGAGCTGCATAGAATATATCAAATTAATAAAATTTTATTTCAATATATACATATTTGGCAATTATTAAAATTATTTAAAATTTTTTAAATTTCATTTTTGTTATTATGATATAAAAATTTCGAATGATTACATGTGATATTACATGTGATAAAAATATTTAATTATCAAAATTACAGTATTAATTTTTTTTATCATTTTTCTTTATCATTTATATTTTTAATTTTATGTTAGCTATTTTCATTCTAATTAATTTCAACATTAATAAGAAAATTATGATTACAAAGATTTAAGCAATTTTAATTTAATGAAATATATAAAAGAATCTTTAAAATATTAAACTAATAAAATATTTAAAAAATATTTTAAATGGAACTCACTTGATCTTGCAATGCTTGCATCAAATTTGCCACTTTGCCTTCCAATTCAGCAGGCATCGGATGAACAAACTTACTGCCATCTGGATGTAAAATTTCCAATCCATGATTTCCAGCATATGTGATACCGTCTATGCCAACCATTGATTTTACGTTGTTCACATTTCTACCCGATATAATTGCTATATACACATCAGACATATTGGACAACCTTTGTAAAACATTCTTTGTTTCAAGTGGTAAGATTGCAAGATCCGGATGCGTTGCAATAGGAGCCAATGTACCATCATAATCCAATAAGAGAGCCAACTTATGATTATCGCCGATATACCTAGGGGACATGTGGATGTCACTGGAACGTTACCCGATTTTCATCATGAGTCAGGTCACATTCGCACGCGCGGGCCCGCCCGTTTTCCAAAAGCATTCTCTGGCTGAGCATAACCTCAAATAATATCAAACATGGAACATATCGAAGATCCCAATATTATATAAATTTGATCCAGGAATATATTTATACTTTTTCACGATGCATTAAATATACCACAGTAATTTGATAACAGGGAATTTTAACAGGTATTTTAGGAAAATTAGAAAAAATAGATAGTTAATTAGGAGAAAAATATTTAAAGTAATCTTATAATTTTAATAATTGGAATTTATAATTTTTATACCGACAATATCAGAAATACAATATCAGATGACCAACGTTCCCCACGTTGCGATGTACCCAAACTCATGCTCGATGCTTTAATAAACAAATCTATTCTTAATCTGCATTGAAAGAAGAAATCATTCCATTTCAATGATTTAGTTGACTTATTAAATATATGTTTTATATATAGGCATTCCCAAGAATTTATCCTTGTATATGCAATAAGCAAACTATTATACATTTATAAATTTCATTTTATACAAAATTTAAATTCTAGGAATGACATATTAAAAGTTATTTAGTAAAAGAATTACTTAACTTAGAGTTTGTATATTACTACAAATTGAATTGCAATTTCATTATTCAATAAATTTTTCTTATTATATATCAGAAATTTTTTAAATAATGTTTTTCAATATAATAGTTTGCTCATAATCATACGTTAAAATGCAATTAATTCATTTAGTATTTTGAGTTTAATCAATAATTCATTCAATAAGAAATTTATAATCTATAACGTGTTAATAATTTTAACACCAAATAATTTTAATTTAATTTTTGTTGATTGAGTCCCGTATAAACGCATGCTCTGGTCGGGCCCAGATACACCATTGTTGAATTCTAATAATACTTACTTGCTCAAATAATCATCGAAATCATCCATAGTCACCGGTTGCATTGTCGTAGCACCTACAGAATCGTGCTCTTCGAGCGATCCCATTACTTGCAGGAAAGATTTCATCCAATAATTAACATCGTAGATCCTTTCGCGACGTCTTAAGTGATTCATCCTTAATGTGCGTTCATCTTCTGGCATAGTAAGAGCTCTAAAATGTACATATATAATAAATTTTTATAATAAGAAATAAAACTAGATTTTCGCGATATTGTTTATGTTTTTTATTTTTTTTATTTATACATTTTCTAAAAAAAATTATATATTTAAAATCATATATTTAAAAAGTGAAATTAATTTTAATAAAGATATTATGTTAAAAAAACTATGAAATAAAAGAATAATAAAATTTGCTAATGTAAATTAACTAAAAATTAGCTTTAATATTAATGTTGGAATATTAATTAAATTCATAGTATCAATATTATAAATATATAATATAAATAGTATAAATATTTAAATAATATCATTTTCATTTGAACATTTTAAAACTTACCTATGAATAACTTCTGCAGCTTCATCTATTTCATATGGATTACAAATCAAAGCTTCATGCATCATCTCTCCAGCTCCAGCAAATGGAGAAACAATCAGCACACCCGGTGGTGTATTGATTTGACAAGCAACAAATTCTTTGGCAACCAAATTCATTCCATCTCTAAGTGGAGTAACGAGAGCAACAGCAGCATCCCTATAGAATGCCGCCAACTCATCCTGACTCACACAACCGTAAATATAACGAATAGGAGACCAATTGGGTGTTGTAAATCGACCGTTTATGCGACCGATCAACTGATCCATTTCAAGCTTTAAATCTTGATATTCACGCACATCTGTTCGCGATGGTACAGCAATTTGAAGCATAGTAACCTAAACAAAAATATCATTTCATGTAATTTCTTCTTATTACTATACAATTTCTTTAAAATATGAATAAAATAATTATGTAATTATTAAATCTAATTATTAAATCTTTTAATTATTAAATTTAAATGTAACTGCGTTTCTTTACTATCTTTATAAGAATTTACATTATTAAGAATTATAAGAATTCAATTATAAAAGTTATTATTAAGTAATTAAAAACAGAAACAAATGCAAAATAAATGCATTTTAAATATTTATTCTGAAATACTTAAGTAAATACTTAAAGTAGTTACACTTAATAGACTTTGTCTCTTTCAAACATTAAAATATATATCTGAATGTAATATTAACAATATTAAAATAAATATCTAAAAGAATATTTACTATTATTATCTAAAAGATATTTATAATATAATAATATAATAATCTAATATATAATAATATAATAATATAAAGTAACTATTTTTAATAATTTAAAGATTTGCTTTTGCATACAGACATTAAATGTATAAATATAAAACGAATCTTTTTGTAATTGTATGCAACTAGATAATAGCAACATCTTTACCTGTTCACGATGTTCCGGATGCTTTTCCAGCAGCATCTCAAAAGCTTTCAGTCTATTAACCAGACCTTTAGTATAATCGAGACGATCAACGCCCAATACAATTTTCTGATTAGTTGATATAACTTTGTTGGCAGTCTCGGCCAGCGAGACAAATCTATCGAATGGAATACCAATTGGAAGTGGTCTCACTCGTACAGTTCTTCCACCATGCTCCACCAACAAGTTCTTACGATCGACTCTGCAACCGAGACTTCTCTGGCAGCAGTCGACGAAATTCAAACAATAATCCTGAATATGAAAACCGACCATGTCGCAACCTAATGAGAATTTATTTTTATTAAATTTGCTTTTCAAATTTTTTTGAATAAAAAAATATTAAGATATGCAATAAATATGTGATCAATATATATGCATTATATTTTATATAATTTTTCATAAACCTTCTATAATTACTCTCATTATAATTATTTATTATAATAGTAAATATTTTTCAAGTATAATGTTCTTTTTAATTTTATTTTCTTTAACGAATGCTAAATTTTTCTTTAATTGATCTTATGCATATTAATTTTCTTTAAATTAAAATTCATGGAATTTATAAATCAATATTCATTTATTTTTAAAAAATAACATTTTATATTTCTAATAAATATTGTCATAATTAATTCATTATTTTTTAAGAATTGCATTTTAAAATTTATAAATTTTGATTAAAATATACAGATTTGCAATACAAAAATTCTTAGCAACATAAAAATCTATATAAATATAATATCTATAATGTCTAAAATATAATATCTATAATCTAAGAATCTAAGAATTGAAAAATATATTTACTTACCAAGCATTCCCTGAAGGATTTCATCAGCCCATGGGAATAATCTGAATATATCCCATGGTGGAAAAGGGATGTGAAGGAAGAAACCTAATTTACACTTAAGTTGCTTCTCATCAGCTGCTTGTCTAATCCAATTCGCAGCCAACATTAAATGATAATCATGCACCCACACTAGTGGTGTACCATTTGGTTGATTCTTTTGCTCTTTATGGATTTCTTCTAATGCACGGACCTAAATATCAAAGACAAAATTATTAAATTATTATTACGAGAATGCTTATTTAATATGTAATAAAACATTTAATTTTTTATTCAATATTTCAATAAAGGAAAACAGTGATCTGGAATTGAATTAAACTCATGACAAATTTATATACATTTTGATGATTTTACTCTATAATTACTGTTTTTTACTTATATTTTTTAATTAAAGTTCTAAAAATAATAAATATTTTTATCAATTTTTTTAGCAAAAAATTATATTTTATTGATATTTATGATTAAAGTAAGAAGCAAAATATTAATAATTTAAAATACATAATCTAAAAATACATAAACATTCATTTAAAATTGTTTTGCAATTATTGATAATTGAATAGCATTTCTTTTCATTTAAATTATTATCCAGAAACGTTAATATTTGGCTGGTAAAAAAATATTTTTTCTATATTTTTATGATATTTTTATTTTTGTTTTATATTTTATATTATTTCATTAAATATTTAAAATTTCAATAGAGATTCGATTCTATATAGATAAGTTATTAAAATATCTAATTGATCCAGATTATTAAAATAGAATATATAGAAAAATAATTAATGTTTTTTTAAAAAAGTAACTCAATAATGATTTTATATTTATATAAAACAATAAGATATACAATAAAAAATTTTAAACAAAAATTCTAAAAATTTAAACAAAAATTTCTAAAAATTACTAGAAAATAATGTTGATTTTTATAATATTAAAATACCCTAAAAAAAAACTATTCAAAATCTAAATCATGCATATGTAAAATTTCCTATTTTTCATGAAAATGATATATTTCATTTATAAAAATAGATATCGTTTTATTTAAATTATAACAACAAATATTTGTCACTTTAATATCATTCTTAACAGTTTCAAAATAAAAAACTTATTTGTACAGTATACAAGGTGTGTAGATAACAAACTATAAAACTTCCTATGTCTTATATTTCATTTATCTTTCCTTTTATCTGACAATTTTATTTGCACAATTGTCAGATTATATAATAGATAATAATATTATCAAGTTCTCGACTTTCCAAGAATTATTCCCCTAATTTATATATAATCAATATTCCATTCGAGAACTACCCACCGTTTTTGCTGCAAATTCCTCATTTACCGCGGAATACGCTCGCCAATGTTCCGCAATGAAGGTTGCTCGATCAGGCATAGAGTGGAACAATGGCCAAAAAGTTCCGTTGCAACATCCATTGTAGTACGAATCGAAAATGTTTGGTTCAACATGTACTGCCACAACCTGGATAACAAAACATTACAATTTTTTTTTTTAATCTAGCAATGAAACACAAAGAGATTTTAGTTAATTCGCAGATATCCTAAGGCACTTTCTTTGTGTAACAGTAAAGAAATACTTTTTCGAAAAAAAATTTTTTTCTTTTTTTTTCTTTTTTTCTGTATTATTTCTTTATGTATTGTTAGACATGGAGAAAATGAACAGTTGTATGGAAGAAATTCATTTTGTTATCTTTTATTTCTTTATTTAAATTTTTAATATTTATATTTATTATATTTGAGCAAATTAAATTTTGAATAAATTTTGCTATAATTTTTACACTTAATAATATATTTACATTAAATAAAATTATAATTAAAAAAAAATGTATATTGAAATTGAAAATAGTAGAATAAAACAGAAATTATATTTAATATTTTGTTATTTTAAATATTAAAAAATTTTATCAATAAAAGCTATAAATATCAAAGTTTATCGATGGAAAAAATTAATTTTAATTGTAAATCATTTATTTTAATTTTTTAATTAATTTGACATTTCAATATAAGATATAAATGTATTTGGAAAGCATAATAGAATTATGAGGGAAAAGATAACTTATAACATTTATTGAAAGAAGAATCTTGTCTTATAGATAAAGACTATGGAATACACATTCTATGAAAACAATAATTTCTCTATAATACATTTTAATTTCTTTATTAATTAATAAATGAACATAATTAATGAATAAATAAAGATAAACTTTAATTCGTTTCAGAAAATCAAAAATCTTTTAAAACAATTTAACAAAATCTTCTTTTAATCTCTTGACCAGAATTTCAATATTATTACGTACACAATCATTATTTATAAACATTACAAAAGTAAGAGAAATAGTATCATTAAATTTCTCAAATGTTTTCCCACGGTTTCAATGCAACCGTGATTCGCTATCCATTATACATATTTTTTTCCCTTAAGATAATATTTTCTCTTGGATATGAAATACGAATTAATTAAGGAAAAAGTATCTCCATTTTCTTTCTCCCAAGAATAATTACTCCTATCATATGTATTTATAGTTTCGTTATCATGCACATTTTATCATTATTATCCATGCATTATATTCGTTGCACAGACTAAACTTCCTATTTTTATCGTATCTTAAGTCGTAGATACACGCCCGATTGCTGCAAATAGCTTCGAGTCAATCGAAAGAGACGAGTAGTAACTCGGCAAATATTAAATGACATTATATCGATCATTGTACGTGTAGATTAATTATTGTCGTTGCCGGAAGCGCAACAACAATAATTGTAAAATGCAATACAAAATTTTCTTTATCAATCGATCGAAAATTCTCATATAAATTAATTTCTCGCGTAATTAGAAATTATATTATATATGAATATAAAATAAAGAGAAAATATAAAATGTTTCTAGAAATATGTAATCTTTTTAACACGTTTGTGCATGTTTGATCAAATTTGTGCGTCTTACATATAATAATAATATATAATATAATGCAAAGATTTCGATTATTCTATTATTAATTATTATACATATATAATAAATGCATAATACATGCGTATATAAAATAATGTATCTTAAAATGTATATTTAAAAAATAATTTCTCTTTATAATCGAAATTTCATTTGCTTATAAGAATAAAAATTGTAATTAAAATTTTTCATTTTTATTTGAACTATGAAAAAAAATAATCATAATAATATAATCATAATATATAATTTAAATGGATATAATATAGAAGAGATAAAAATTTGAGATAAGTTAAGCAAATACTAGAAAATTAAAATATTTCTAATATATAATTCTATTGAAAATATTATTTTATGTTTAAAATTAATTAATTAATAATAAAGAATTTATTATTTGCTTATTTACTATTTATTTAGATTCCATGTAATTAAAATATTTATTTCTTGTTTGAATTGAAATGCAATAAACATCAAAGATGACTACGTTCTATTTTTCATTTCTTATTCCTTAAATGTAGAAAATGTAGATTAATTATATATATTATATATAATAATATAACTTTAAAATGTCCACTAAAAGTTTTAAAAGAGCAAAAAGAAATAAATATTAGGAAATTATTATTATTATTAATTTCGTAATTTTAATGTTTAATATTAATAATATTTTCCAGAATATGTGAAAAAAATTAGAATTTATATTATCAATGAAGATTTGATTTAGAATTGTATAACTTTTTCGCATCAATATTAAATCATATTTAAACAAATATAAATATTGTAATAAAAAAAATTTGTTTTAAATTTATTTAAATATATAACGTATATTTTTAAAACTGTATCATACAATTAATACTATATACATTGATGTGTATTCTCAATAATGATTGCATGATCTTACAGTATCTTACAGTAATATAAAATTATAGATTATTATTCAACAATTTGATTAAAAATATTATATGTATATAGATCATTAATATTTGCTTTATCCTTGACATGTGCTAGATTATACTTTAGAAATTTGATTAAGATTAAGAGATTCTTTAGTTACTTCAATCAATTTGTATTATATACAAATATATGTCTTACTGATTGAAACGAATATTTATTATCGATTTAAAGAAGCATAAAATTGTCAGCAAACTATTTTCATCATCATCATAAAATCTAAAAAGAATATTACATCATAAAAAAATGATATATAGAATAAAACTAAAATTTCATCAAATAAAGAGATAAATAAATAAGTATACTATTATTGGTTTTTATGAATGAGAATTAATTGACTTGTACTACTTACAGAATTGAATTTCAAAGTATTCGCCCTTTTAAGATACAATGATCATTTTCATTTTTCTTTTGATTCAGAAATGCTACAAATAATCAATAATAATTCATTTTTAAAAAATTTTTTACCATTGTAAAAAGTTATAGGTTTATTTGAAATAGAGTTCTTATTCTATTTCAATCTTATCTTCTTTGGGATAGATCTTCTAATTTCTAATTTCTTGTTTTCTTTTAAACTTTTATGTTCTTTAATTTATATGATTTTATTTAATTAATATTACAATTGAAATTGCACAAATATAAATCAATTAATGTTCAATTTTTTTTTTTTATTTTCCTAATAATATATTATCAATTTTTTATAATTAGTTTTAAATATAGTTTTAAATATATAATTTTATATTAAAAAAATCTTTTCATGAAAAAATATAATATATTTGTCAAAATGTTAACCTATTTTCTTTTTTATGAACGTTCTAAATTCTTGAAAATTCAATCCTCAGACTACAAAGAGATTTCACACATTTTTTCTTATTTAAGATATAGTTGTCATAAAAGAATTTCCTAATATTCCAGTATCCTTAATATCTAGGAAATAATTTTTCAGAAATTCGATTTTTATTTTTAAATGATTCATTTATCATTGTGCAAAAAAAAATAATTTTGTAGAAATATTAAAAAACATTTTAATATTTTGACATTTCATATATCATTAAACATTTTAATGATATAAATACTGAAAGTTTTATGTTTCTAAAATTTAGCATTTTATATATATTTTATAAAATTATTATTTACTAAGATTATTATCTTTGCATTCTATATATATATATACACACACACAATTTTATTAAATATTTTTCAATAATAATATAATCAAAATATTCAAATAATTTAATGTAAAAAATAATTGCGAGCGAAATTATCTCACTTAGAAAAAATCTCACTTAACTTCAAAAATTAAATATAATTGAAAAACTCTAAAAATTCTTAAAAATATCATTTGTATATATTTTCGATATTAAGACTGCTTTCAAATGATAAAAAGGATATAAATACATAAAAAAAAATAAATAAATACATAAAAATCTGTATTAAAAATAGAGACAATATTGAACGCACAATATATGCATAAATAATAGAAAAAAATAATTAAACAAGTTTGTATTTCAATGATCTTGAAATAATATAAAAAAAAATTAGTTTATTCCACAATAACAAGCTGCAAAATTTGCGAATGTTGAATTTAAATTGAATTGGATAAATTTTCAATCGTTGCAAGTAGTAATATATAATGTCTTTCATCGTATTGAGCAATTGTTTCTGTGGATGAATCTATATGAAAACAATAAAAAAAAAAAAATTAATATAAACATATGTCCAATTTGACCTATTTGTTTTCGAGTTATAGTGAATTTCATGTTGCAATAATTTTATCAAAAAATAGTTAGTTTCATTATTTACAAACGAAATTCAATATCGAACGTTATTAACAATATCAAAATATTTCGCAAAAAAAAAAAAAATTGAATAAGACTTTTAGAAAAAATAATATTTCGAAAAATGGAAAAAGTCAATGCTGAAACTTTTTCAAACTTTTTCATATATAAAGGAATCATTGTGAACATCTCTCTCTGAAAATAAGCAGATACAGTGTCGAAGAAATAATTCATTATAACTGGAAAACAAAATCAAATAGATCACATGATCTTTATATAATCTTTTTCATTGTTTTAATATATAATATATAACGTATAATTAAAACCTGTAAAAACTTTCGAAGATCTTAATACTCGATTTTATATTTTTATTCCTTCTTTTCATCACTCTTTCTAAAATTAATTATTATAATAATTATATAAAATTAATTAATATATCGATCGATATCTTTGGAGAAAAAAATACCAGTTTCTCAATTTCTATATTTGTGCTAAATGAAAGAACAAATCGAAACTTGGCAATCGGAAGTGCATAAAGTCCGTAGTTCATGGAACTTAATTAATAATCGTTGTTGGCAACATGACGCATTCCAAAGCGTCTGTTAATTGTTCATTATCCTCCTTGGGGCTCATTTATTTGTTCGGCCTCTTTTATTTTCCTAACAGCGTGAAAACACATCCATTCCTCGATCGTTGATTGACGCAAGAACGTCATGACCAATCACTAAGAGAGATAATTATTATAATGTTTCCAATGGACTAGACACAATCATCTGAAGAAGATCTAAGTAATGT